ATGAGCAGTGAAGGTTGCTGTTATAACCATCTTTCTTCTAGCTGATTTAGGCTGGTTTCTTTACTGTATCCTCTTATCGAGGTAGGAGGTGGGGCTGGGACACTGGACCAGGTTGAGGAGCAGCTAAAAAGGGACTGGAGCAGAAGCGGCTTTCCAATCAGACATGCCCACCAATGTGCCATGTCAATTTACCATTACCAAGGCAACACCCAGGGGTTACCACACCTTTCCATGGGAATGACCTAATGACCCGACAGTCACTATCCCTTCCCTAGAGTTTTCTGCATAAACAGCCCCTTAATCTGCATGCAATTAAAAGTGGATATAAAGTTGACTGCAAAACTGCCCTGAGCTGCTACTGTCTGCCTATGGAGTAGCCCTGCTCTGCAGGAGCAGTCACAGAGCTGTAACCCTGCTGGAGTTATAACACTGCCTCTTCAATAAAGTTGTTTTCTTTGACCTCTAGTTTGCCCTTGAATTATTTCCTGGGCAAAGCCAAGCACCCTCTGGGCTAAGCCCCACTGTGGGGCTCACCTTGCATCAGCTTGGCACCCAACATGGCGTGAAGAAAAACGACAGCGTCATGGGAGATGGCAATTGGTAATTGAGGAGTGGCAATCTGCCAGTCAGCTGCCAGTCAGCAGCCAGCAGCAGTCTGTGAATCGGTGATTGGCCAGCAGCAGTCTGCAATGCAGTAGTTGACAATAGGCTAGCAGCAGTCAGTGATCAGCAGGATGGCAGTTGGTGGGATGAGGAGTGGAAAGGCGTCGAAGCCTAGCTGTAACATCTGAGCTGTAACACAAACCAAAGGCTCTTTTCAGAACCATCATTTTCCCTGGCAGGCAGTGGAGCCATTCAGATGGGCAAGCAGCCATAGTGACACTGCCTCATGTGGGGCCTACCACTCCCACCAGCAGCCTGGTGGGTTACTGACACAGTGCAGGCCCCTCCCACTGCAGCAGCTGAGCCCACTGGCAGGGCAGCCATAGTGTCACCACCTTATGTGACACCCACCTCTCTGGCAGACAGTGAGTTACTGGGTTACTGGACCCCCTGTGCAGGCCCCACCCATTGTGGCAGTTAAGTCCACCCCAGCTGAGGTATCCTGGGGAGAGCTTCACCTGGGTCCCATGGGGAAAATCAGTCAGCACCACATCTGTCCTGCTGGACAGGTGAGTGTCCCTTCTGCCCCCACCCCCATAGTATCAGGAGAACAAGGAAATAAAATAAAAGCCTTTGGCTAGACCATGTCCTTGTCACCCCTTCCCTGAGTGCTTTCTCTTCAGACTCCATTGTATTGTTCCATTAGTTATTTTATTTTCAGTCCTAAAATGTGTGCAGTCTTATGTTTGGTTTTAACTTTCTGTTAATTGTTTGGGGGCAATTAAGGCAGGGTACTTGGTTGTGAGAGGTCCCCACTGTTTTCACTCTGGGATGCTAGAGTCATGTTGTTCGGTGACCCCAATTTGGTCTTGGATTGACTGTTGGCCACTCTCTGGGTACCCCAGGGTTTTCAGCATTTGGTGAAGGGAACCTTTTTGGTTGAAACTTGGCCCTTCTGAGTTTTCAGCACTGGTATTTTGGCCACCCTCCAGATGCTCTGGGGTATTTGTGTTGATATTCCCTCTAGGATTCTGAGAGATATATGAGTTATAGTCCTCTCCCTAGGGGAGTATTGGTCTTGCCCTTTTCTGCCCTATAAGTTAGAAGTATTTTAATAGCAAGTTGCTAACCTCTTCCTGTGTGCTGTCTTCCAACTAGCTTGCTCAAGCCACTCTTGGTCAAAGGAATTGGGAGTTCTCAGGCCCCTGGCATAATGGAGAACCACCTACAATGGTAGAAAATTGGCCATGTGAGTACTTTTTTCAGTGTCTCTGCTACTGGATAGGTTTTCCAGCAGGTTAGGGCCTCTGAGGTCTCCCCTTGGGCAACACTGTTTACCTCTTCTGTTTCTCCCTTCCACAGTCCCTCCCTTCCATTTGTTTAGCCCACCTCTCTACCAACCGTTGCTCTCTGTGGCATTTAGGTTCAAAATCCAACTGCCCATTTGAAGCTCATAATCCACTTAAGGATTAAAGCTCATAAGCCCTAAGGAACTTGACTCAAACCCTTAGAAACCTTAGCCACCATCACAGGTCAGGCATGAAAGGGAATTCAAGTCCTTAGACTCTGGCAAATGTAATTCTCTATAACAGACTAGTGTTGAATTATTTACTAGCTGAACAAGGAGTCTGTGAAGTTATTAGTAAAACCTGCTGCACATATATTAACAAATCTGGACAAGTTGAGATTAACATTCAAAAGATCTATGAGCAAGTTACCTGGTTACATAATCAGGGCACTGACTCCCAACTATATCTGGTCAACTATCAAAAGTACCTTCCAAGTTTCACCTGGTTTTTACGTCTCCTAGGACCTTTGATAGCTATCTTGTTACTATTCTTTGTCACTTCCTTGTTTAACCTCTTAGCAAAGTTTGCGTCTTCTGGATTACAAAACTTCCAGGTAAAGACAATGCTGGCAGAAGAATCCCAACCCATCCTGTCTACTGACCCAGTTAATGAAAAAATGTCCTGCCTCTGGGTCCCTTAGTTGAGTTACCCAGGGATTTTTACTCCTCCAGTGCTAGGCAGGGCCTATGCCCATAAGCTCAGCAGGAAACAGTTACAGAATACAGACCTCTGCCCTTCTACAGCACCCTTAAGATTAAGGAGGAATATGTAATCTCTGAGGAGAGGATGAGGTAGGAGGTGGAACTTCACTCCAGAGGCAGGGCTCAGACACTGGACCAGATTGAGGATTAGCTAAAACAAAGCCAGAGCAAAAGCAACTTTCCAGACATACCCAGTGTGCCATATCTATTTACCACGGCCATGGCAACACCTAGGGGTTACCTCCCTTTCCATGGCAATGACCTGATGACTCAAAACTTACTACCCCCTACCTAAAAAGTTCTGCAGGAATCACTAATCTGATATCAAAGGAAATCTGGCTGTGCATGTGTGTGCTCTTACTATGGGTATCTGATACCTTGGCACCAACACACAAACCCAGGACTGGGAGCAGCACACATGTGGCACAGGGGGAAAATATACGGACTTCGGTCACAGCCCAAAAGAGCAGGGCCTTATGGTGGCATGTGGTAAATGGGGCAGGTGACACCAACGGATTTAATGTGATTTTAAGCTGTGAACTGTGGAGAACTTTTTCCTATAGAAATAGTCATTATTGTGAAAATTCTGATTTAAATATTTCACCCATAAAAATAGTTGAACCATTACTTGGCTTAAAATATTTGAGTTAAACATTTTTGTTCCCACCATGACTTTGTGGCTTTCATTGGACCAACCCACCATTAACAGTAACAAAACTTAAATGAAATACATGAAACAGCTGCTTTAAGGCATGAGGGTAGCCTGTTCAGACAGGATTTTCTGAGGCAGAATTCATGAGAAAGGGGAGAGCCAACGATGTATCACACTGGTTTTTCTCAAGCACTTGAAAATTAGCATCAAGGGAACATAAAGCCCCAGAAGAAAGACAGCCTATCTAGGCTGAGGAAAAATAAGCTGAAATTTTTGTTTTGTGCAAAATAGTGGGGCTTCTGCTTCTGGGTAGGATGCAGTGAAAAAAGATGAAACAAATATAGAGAAAAAAAAAAACGGATTTATTTAAATTGTAAGCTTTAAAGGCCAGAGAGGAAGACATAAGCTAAGATTCCAAAAGTAAAAGAGCCTTTGTTAGGAGAAGTGAGAATATGAAACATTTACACACAGAACAGAAAGGTTCTTAAAGAAAAAAAAAGCCCACGGCAACAAAAATCTCTATGTTACGACACTTGTACCTGATTCTGGGAGATATTCATGCAAATTTAACCACAATTATCCAGCACTGCCAATTTTTATTTAAATAGATTCATTTGTAATTAGTTCTATTTTTGCAATGTTAAATTTTGTAATATATTGGTTATAGTTATCAATACTATATTATATACTTTAAAATTTGCTACAGGTTGTTATGTAAGTGGTTTTATCATAAAGAAAACAATGAAAAACGAGGGAAGCAACCTTTGGAGAGGATGAATGTGGCAAAGATGGTGGTGATGGCTTCATGGGCTTATCCTTATCTCTAAACTTATTGTGTACATTAAATAACAGCTTTTGTCAATTCACTTTGATAAAGTGGTTTAAAAACGAAAAGGCAAATTTATGCACCATAAGACTGTACTTTTAAAGTGAGTCTTTCATAATCCACGTTTGATTTAATCATTACCATGTACATATATACCACTAATATAGTTAGGACATGTAATTTTGTGTTCTACGTATATTAGTTCCATTGAATGTCATTGTCTTTTTGTTTTGAGCCAGAGTTGCACTTTTTTGCCCAGGCTGGAGTGCAGTAGCATGATCTTGGCTCACTGTAACCTCCGCCTCCTGGGTTCAAGTGATTCTCCTGCCTCAGCCTCCTGAATAGCTAGGACTACAGGCGCCCACCATCATGCCCAACTAATTTTGTATTTTTAGTAGACATGGGGTTTCACCATGTTGGCCAGGCTGGTGTCGAACTCCTGACCTCAAGTGATCCACCCATATCAGCCTCCCAAAGTGCTGGGATTACAGGTGTGACCCACCATGCCCGTCCCCATTTTTCTAACTGACCCAAATCTATGTGTTTAAAACTGAATTAAAAACATAGAGTTTGGGCTGGGCACGGTGGCTCATGCCTGTAATCCCAGCACTTTGAGAGGCCGAGGCAGGCAGATCACAAGGTCAGGAGATTGAGACCATCCTGGCTAATACAGTGAAACCCCATCTCTACTAAAAATACAAAAAATTAGCCGGGTGTGGTGGCGGGTGCCTGTAGTCCCAGCTACTCGGGAGGCTGAGGCAGAAGAATGGCGTGAACCCAGGAGGTGGAGCTTGCAGTGAGCCGAGATCGCACCACTGCACTCCAGCCTGGGCGACAGAGCGAGACTGTTTAAAAAACAAATGAACAAAAAAAAAAACCATAAGAGTTTAATCAACCTATTAGATTATTCAGCAACAACATTTAATGCTTGCATTTTTGACAGTACTAATTTAATCTTATTACTTCTTACACAATTCTGCATTCAATATTCCCAGGTTATTTCAGAATTGTACATTTCATCCCACATATTTTAAGTAGAAAGTCTTTGCTCAAAACCATAATTTTTTTTCTCAAGCATGTGCTTGATGGCTTTATGTTTTGTCCCCCAGCTATACATCTCAATGGCTTTTTAGAGTTTTCTGCCCTGTCTTTTTTGACATGAAAGCTGCCTGAAGGTTCTTCTACTATCATGTCAAGATTGTTTTCTCAGTGGAAAAATACTGGTATTGACTAAGGAATGAGTAATATACTGAGGACTGCCCTCCATTCATGTCACTGAGTGTTCTACACCATGTGAATTCTGATCTATTATAGAAGTGCTGCTGTATTAAGAAAAGGATTTCTCACTGAATAATTTCTCTACTATGAATTTCTGGAATTGTGCAAGAGGCCTCATCCACCTAATAAAAATATTTTCACAAATTTCCTGTTTTTATCAGTTACCTGATAATGAATTTTCTTGCAGACACCAAAACTGGTGCTTAGCTGAATGACAGTGCACAGCAATTACAGACGTATGGTTACTTGCCTGTCGATTTTACTCATTTGTTTAAAGGATGGCATTTTCACATTGACGACAGGTACAGAATTTTTGTGATGTGATTTCTCCTGTTTGTTTAACAGTTAGAGCTTTGGATGAAGACTCTTCCACATTCCTTTGATCTATAGTTTCATTCTCTCATAGTTTGTGCCATATAGCTTAAATACATATGGATTCTCCCTACTTTGGATTCATTTAGGTTGAGCAAAGTGGTGATTACAAATAAAGGCTTTTCCACACTGATTACAGACACAATGTTCCTGTAGTATGTCAGTCCTTGAGTGTATTTAGTGTTAACGCTATGGTTGATGACTCTTACATATTCATTACTTTTTTAGTGTGAGTTCTCTCATGTTGTCTAAGGTTAAAAAATTTACTAAAGGCTTTTCCACATAGAGGACATACATATGGTTTCTCTCCAGTGTGAACTCTTTTATGAAGTCTAAAGTTGTAACTTCTATTGAAGGCTTTACCACATATATTGCATTCATATGGTTTCTCTCCCGTGTGAGTTCTCTCATGTCGTCTAAGGACAGAAGAGTGATTGAAGGCCTTTCCACACAGGTGGCATTCATATGGTTTTTCTCCAGTGTGAGTTCTCTCATGTCGTCTAAGGTCAGAAGATTCAGTGAAGGCTTTCCCACATACACGACACTCATATGGTTTCTCTCCAGTGTGAATTCTCTCATGTCGTTTAAGCACAGAAGATTCAGTGAAGGCTTTCCCACATAGATGACATCCATGTGGTTTCTCTCCATTGTGACTTCGCTCATGTTGTCTAAGATGAGAACAATGAGAGAAGGTTTTTCCACATAGATGACATTCATATGGTTTCTCTCCATTGTGAGTTCTTTCATGTTGTCTAAGGTAAGAACATTTACTGAAAGCCTTCCCACATAGATGGCATCCATATGGTTTATCTCCTAAGTGAGTTCTCTCATGTTTTCTAAGGTCAGAGCAATGAGTGAAGGCTTTCCCACATAGATGGCATACCTGTGCTTTCTCTCTAGTGTGAATCATCTCATGTCGTCTAAGGTTAGAACTTTTACTGAAGGCTTTCCCACATAGATGACATCCATATGGCTTCTCTCCAGTGTGAGTTCTCTCATGTTTTCGAAGATCAGAGCAATGAGTAAAGGCTTTCCCACATAGATGACATCCGTGTGGTTTCTCTCCAGTGTGAATCATCTCATGTCGCCTAAGATTAGAATTTTTGCTGAAGGTTTTCCCACACACATGACATTCTAATGTTATCACTCTAGTGTGAGTCACATTGTGTGGTCTAAGGGCAGAGTTTTGGATAAAGGCATAATCAAATAGATGACCTTCATCTGATTTACATCTGGTGTGAATTTCCTTGTGTTGATTAAAGGATAACCAGTCACTGAAGGTTTTCCCAAACTTTTTGCTTACAAAGTGTTTCTTTCTCATGTAAGTAATCACATTTTGAGTCAATGCTGTATGTTCAGTAAAATCTTCTCCTAAATCATTACATAGAAAAGGATCCTCTTGAGTATGAGATCTCTGGTTTTTGGAAGGAAATGAAAGACTATTAAAGGTTTATCCACACTCATTCATTCATTACTTCATTCATTTCTCTACATACTAATTCTAGAGCAATCATTCAGTAGTAGATTCCAGTTACAATTGTTCCTGTATCAGTTATATAAACATAGTGTATTATCTAACTGCATGTAGAGAATTTTTCTGTTGTAGCATCCCAACTGAAGAGCTATCTGACTAGTATTAAGACTTTATCCTGTTTGAAAGTTTCAGCACATAGTAAAATTTATACAATTGTCCTGTTATAAGGCCTCATGTTATGGTTTTGATTTGAAGTTAATGTCTTCACTACATCCAAACTAACTAAAACTCTGCTGGGAGGGCTTTAAGTACAGTCAGGTACCTGTACCAAATTCCAAAGTTGTTCAATGTCCAGGTTTCTATATGGAAGAACAGGGTTCGCATCCATAAAGCTTACTTACCATTGTGCTGATGGTGGATGTGCCCTTCTGATAGGTATGTTGAATGAATGGTATCTCTTGATGTTTAATGTCACCTTCTCTACCTGAAATAAATTAAAAAAAAAAAAAGATGCTATATAGGCATTAGGGGAATAAAAATGTTAAATAGCTACAATGCCCATTTGAGTGTGTTTCAAATACAGACAGGGAAGGCATGTTAAATTAATGATACTTTAAGAAGAAGAGTATTATAGGAAATTGACTACTGACATTTTCAGCATATAAAAAAATAAAGAAGGCAAGTTAAGGAAGTAAAGGAAAGAAAAATTTTCAAAGAAGAGGACCATTATAAAGGGCTACTATGTAATAGTTTAACTCAAATAAGTACACAAATATCCCCTTTACAAAAGCCAATGACAATGACAGAGATATACTTGAATAAAAATTGATACGTACAAAGTATAACGTCAATATCTGAGAAATGTTTCCCTCAGGCTTTTGCCTACATTTCAGAAACACTGCAAATTTAAGAAACCTTCCAGCTGGGCGTGGTAGCTCACGCCTGTAATCCCAGCACTCTGGGAGGCCGAGGTGGGTGGATTTCTTGAGGTCAGGAGTTTGAGACCAGCCTGGCCAACATGTTGAAACCCTGTCTCTACTAAAAATAGAAAACAATTAGCTGGGCACGGTGGTGTACACCTGTAGTCCTAGCTACTCAGGAGGCTGAGGCAGGAGAATCACTTGAATCTGGGAGGCAGAGGTTGCAGTGAGCCGAGATCGTGCCACTGCACTCCAGTCTGGGTGACATAACGAGATTCTGTCTAAAAAAAAGGAAAAAAGAAATCTTCCTTTGGCAACTGTTGGGGCCTACTCACTCACTGGCCATGTTTCTCCTCCTCCTATTGAGCACTGCTTCTTAGAGCTCACCTTGCAGTAAGCTTATTCCTTGTGTTGAAAGTTTCTCTACTTGCTCCAAATGAGAAAGCACAACTGATTTGCAGAGCTGTTTGCCTGTTTTTGGGAAAAACATACATGGATTTTGAGTTCTGTGCTGACAAATGTACAAGGTTATCAGGTACAGGGTAGGCTACTGGGAAGGATAAGTTAGCCGCTGAAGGTCAGCCTGGGAAGAGTACCTTGAAGACAACACTGACAGTCCTTTATGAGCAGAAGGAAAACTCTTGAACTTGTTCCCAGACATAAAAGACCAATAATTGCTGATGGTCATGCCTCACTTCAAATACTGATTGCAGAATCCTCAGTATTTTCACTCAGTATTGCAGTGAAAATCCTCAGTATTTTCACTCAGTATTTTCACTGTATTTTCTCACAGTGAGAAATTACAAGTTGTCATAGTGTTTGACATTATATTAAAAAATAATGCAATAAATACTAGCTCCACCAGAACAATCTAGGTTCTGTGCAGAACAGTCCCTATGATAGAACAATTACTTTAAAGAAATCAATACATTTATTTATGCATTCAAAAGCAGTGAATTTTCATAACTTTTCTGAGTTTGGGAGATTGAAGAGCAAGAAGGATGTGAAATTGTGGTCAAAAAGATGACATTCTAGAGAGAGGACAAATCAATATAAGTGAAAAGGAAATAAATGGCTGTCAGGTAATTGTGAGAGTTATGAAAGGATCAAGGCAGAGGTTGAAGTGACAGATGAGAAAGCTGTTCTAGAAACATGTAGAATGAATGAATGAATCAGTGAAAAACAGGCGAGTGAATGAATACATATATACATACATACATAATACATATAAAGAGACTCACCAATAGAGACCAGATGACTGATGTTCTCCAACATCACATCTTGAAACAGCTTTCTCTGGGATGTGTCCAGCAGGGCCCACTCTTCCTGAGTGAAGTCTACAACTATATCCTCGAAGGTCATGGAATCCTAAAACATTATGGACATTCTACTGCAAACAGGGCTCTCTCTGCCAATGTTCAGTGGAGCAAGATAAAGTGACTGTCCTAAGGAAGTGTGGGTGGTATGAAAGAAAACTCAAACAGTGTTTGGGGTTCCTGTCACATCCCTTTAAATCTGAACTGGGAATCTGGCTTTCAGATACACTCAAGACATAAAACTTACATAGAGAAATATCACATGATATAACCTGAAGATTTCCCAATAGACTTCTAAGTATAACTTCCAGATACTAATTATGAAATCTTGACTTGTAAATTTAGAACTAAAATTCTCCTCTCCACCACCTTCAAGAAAATCCATAAGCCGGGCGCGGTGGCTCATGCCTGTAATCCCAGCACTTTGGGAGGCGGAGGCGGGTGGATCACGAGGTCAGGAGATCGAGACCATCCTGGCTAACTGGTGAAACCCCGTCTCTACTAAAAATACAAAAAATCAGCTGGGCGTGGTGGCCGGTGCCTGTGGTCCCAGCTACTCAGGAGGCTGAGCCAGGAGAATGGCGTGAACCTGGGAGGCGGAGGTTGCCGTGAGCCGAGATCGCACCACTGCACTCCAGCCTGGGTGACAGAGCGAGACTCCGTCTCAAAAAAAAAAAAAAGAAAAGAAAAGAAAATCCATAGACTCACTACAAGGGAGGCAGTATCCACAATTTGTCACATTTTAATCAATACTTTAATTAGATATTCCACTAGAGCACCTCAGTGTCCTCATGAATAAAGACCTGTTATGAGTTCAAAAAGATCCAGTGAGATAATATGTAAAGTGGTTCCTATCTATCATTTTTTAGATACAAGCCACAAATACATTATTCATGAAATGACTGAGAACACTCAGTTGAGTGAACAACTTTCATACAGAACTTGGTAGCAGCAGATGCAGCCTCTTATCTCTACACAACTCAGGTATTCACTGTTAATGGCTAAGGATGAATGGCTCAGCAGCACAAGCCTGGGGCTCTAAGACTTCAGTACTGAAAGATGGTCTCATCCTGCCACTTCCCATGGCCTGAGGACTTCCTTTCTCAGTTTCATCTGGGACCTCCAAACACCAGGTGATATCGTTTGGCTCTGCGACCCCACCCAAATCTCATCTTGAATTGTAACCCCCACATGTTGGGGGAGGGGCCTGGTGGGAGGTGATTGAATAATGGGGGTGAACTTCCCCTTGCTGTTCTCATGCTAGTAAGATCTCACAAGATCTGCTGATTTAACAGTGTGTGGCATTTCCTGATTTGGTATCTCTCTCCTGCTGCCTTATGAAGAAGGTGCTTGCTTCCCCTTCCGCCATGATTGTAAGTTTCTGGAGGCCTCCCAGTCATGCTTCCTGTTAAGCCTGCAGAACTGTCAGTCAGTTAAACTTCTTTTCTTCATGAATTACCCACTCTCAGGTAGTTCTTTATAGTGGTGTGAAAACCGACTATTATGCACTAGGTACGATTCTCTTTTGTTTCTTCACGTTGTCTCTAGATTTAGGGGTTAAAAAAAATCCTTTGATTATCCTGGTCTCTCCACTTCAAAAATTTCCTCAGAGTTTTAAATTTACTGTTTCCTATACTCCATCACTTAATGCACAACCAAAATTAAAGAAACAACACTTCAGTTGCTTCTAGTTATCAAATTTGATCAGAGGTTCATTTGGGGACAAGGGTAATAAGAATTTTAATTTTGTTTTCTAAGTTTTCAAAAGCACACATTTATCCTCTCAAGACATTAAGATTTTTAGAAAGGAAAAATAAATGAATAATTCCTCATTGTCTCCTCTGTCCTAATCCTATCTGCCTTCCCTTCATGTTAAACAGCCCTCCCCTAACACCTGAAACACTAGACTAACTGAGCTTGCCTGCGAAAACATCTGCCTTTGTAAGGGCTATAATCTTCTGCTCTCACTTATTTTCACTGCCTATCTGCATATACTCCCAAGCCCACTCCTGCCAATAACATGGGTAATGAGTGAATTTACTTCCCCAACAAGGCCATGAGAGGCTGGTAATGAATGAATGATTTCCCCGAGACTGGATGAGAGAAACAAAATCCTCTCACGTCTTTTCTGAGAATACGCAGCCTTAGTAGAGGCTGGAATAAGTGTACTGTTGAAAGGAGATTATTTCTTGATGACTCTTTGAGCCAATGTAACCATTCCAAGCCCTGGGAAATCTTAATTGGAGCTTAGATCCTTGAATGCACTTAGAACATCCATGTTAACAGGATGAATCTGCCCTTAGGCTGGTAGCAGGGGTACAAATTTCAGTAGAAAGAAGAATTTCCCACTCACCAGTGATGGCATTGTACTAGCTCAGCCACCAAATGTATTCCTCTGGGTTTTGACTCACACCATCCAAGCACTAAGAAGACAATTCTGAGAAAAACAAAAAACAAAACAAAATAAAACAAAAAAACCATGACACTCCAGTTTTGCTTCTAACATCTGTCCCAAAGCCATTAGCCCCAGTCCAAGCACATGCAGTGGGTGGGGGATGGGTTGGGTTGGTGGTTCTCCTCTTCCAGGGTCAGAAGAAGAGAATGACTATTGTTGCTAATAAATATATAAATATTTTGATTTTAGACCTAGAAATGTGAAAATCATGGAGTTTCATATGCTACCTAGCCCATAGAATTCTGAAATGTTCAATTCCCTCTGATTCCAAATTCTAAGAATCCCTGAATCATGCAGATGTGGTCTCCACCTACAGATAAATCCTGGAATTTCTCAGATTTAATTATTCCTGGTTTGTGTGCTTGCAGGCTTTCTCTACACATCTCAGCCCTCATGAGCCTCCCTCCATTCCTTCTCCCTTCTGTTGGTCCTCTGTATACACTTCTACTGAATGATTCTGTCTCTTCCACATGAGGCTTCTAGAAATACCACTCCCTCAAGTCTGACCTTTAGATAAATTCAGCATGAATTTATCTACCAGGCAGCTTCAAATTTCATTTTATGATGGTGGATACCTTAAAAGACACACTTTACAAGTGACATACCTTATAAGAAATGCTAAAGGGAGTTCCTCAAGTTGAAATGAAAGGACACTAACAACATGAATATATGAACATGTATGTGACATTGTTATTTATAAGAAATAGTTTGGTTTTCATCCCCAGTTCCTGGCACACAGCCCCCCAAACGCTTGTGATTTCCTAAGTAATAAAGTTGCTAGGAGAAGCTTTTGTTCTTTTTGGTCCTTGACCCTGGTTCCCAATACAGAGCTCGGAATGCATTGGAACTTCATGGGTGATAGGAGTGTCTTTTGTTCTAACAAAACTATTATTATTGGGCTATAGGATAGGGGGTGATTACCTGAAAGACCACAACATGATTATAAGCTTGGAACATACAGTCCCACCCCCTATCCTCTGGTAAAGGGCAGAGGCTGGAGATCGAGTTGATAACAATTATGCCTACTAGATGAACACTTGGTAAAAATCCCTGAATGATAGGATTCAAAGAGCTTCTGGATGAGTGAAGAGCTCATCCAGCATGTACCATCCACATGCTGAAAGAATGGTACATCCCAACTGCTTGGAGACAGACCTCCTAAAACTAAGACCCCTCCAAAACTTGCTGTATGTAACTCTTTAGCTGGCTGTTCATTTGTAATATTTAAAATGTCCTTTGTAATAAATCAGCTAAGTAAACTGTTTTCCTGGGTTCTGTGAGCTACTAAACCCTAGCAAATCGAACATAAAAAGGAGTTCTTGCCGGGCATGGTGGCTCATGCCTGTAATCCCAGCACTTTGGGAGGCCAAGACGGGAGGATCAAAAACCAGCCTCGCCAACATGGTGAAACCCCCACTCTACTAAAAATATGAAAGTTAGCTGGGCATGGTGGCAGGCACCTGTAATCCCAGCTATTTGGGAAGCTGAGGTATGAGAATCGCTTGAAACTGGAAGGTGGAGGTTGCAATGAGCCGAGATCACACCACTGCACTCCAGTCTGGGTGACACAGCAAGACTCTGCCTTGCGGGGGGGCGGGGAAGGAGCTCTTAGGAACCTCCAATTTTTAGCAAAGTCAGACAGAGGTTCTTCACTTTTTAAAAGATTCTTTTTCTTTTTGCTCTTCTGATTGAATAATTTCAAATAACCGGTCTTTGAGTTCACTGGTTATTCCTTCTGCTTGATCAAGTCAGCTCTTGAAACCCTGTATTGATCTAGTTCAGTTACTGTGTTCTTCAGCCCCAGAATCTACATTTCTTTTATTATGGTTTCTCTTTGTTGATATTCTCATCTTGTTAATGTATTCTTTTCCAGATTTTACTTGTCTATCAGTGTTGTCTCACAGCTCATTGAGCTCCTTTAAGGCAATTTATCTTTAATTCTTATCAGGAAATTCAGAAACCTCCATTTCTTTTTCTTTTTTTTTTTTAGCGGAGTTTCACTCTTGTTGTCCAGGCTGTAATGCAATAGCACAATACCAGCTAACTGCAACCTCCACCTACTACTGGGTTCAAGCAATTCTCCTGCTTCAGCCTCCTGAGTAGCTGGGATTACAGGTGCCCGTCACCATGCCCAGCTAATTTTTTTTTTTCTTGTATTTTTAGTGGAGCTGGGATTTCACCATGTTGGCAAAGCTGATTTTGAACTCCTGGCCTCAAGTGATCTGCCTACCTCGTCCTCCCAAAGTGCTTTGACTACAAGTGTGCACTGCACCCAGCCAAAAACCTGTATTTCTTTATGGTCAATTATTGTAGATTTTGTTCCTTCAGTAGGGTCACATCTCCTTGATTTTTCAAGGTTGTGCAATATCTCCCAGTCTCACAGAGCTGTGCCAGTTGCCATAAGATGCCCTGTATTTCTCCTTAGAGTTGTGCTCTGATAGCCTGGGACACTAAATGCATACTTCATTACTCTCCTTTCCTCCACGAGTCTCACATATTCTCCTGGGGGAGAAGTCTAAGGGGTCTGTGCCTTCTACCAGTCTCACAGAACCATGGGGGTCACCATAAACCTCCATACAAGCCTCCTCAAAATTCTCTACTTTGGCTTAGGAGTATGGGAGTCACAGTGCAGACGGTGGAGGTATAAGAAAGACATCCAAGACCCCTGTGAGCTTCTAAATCTCTACAGGCATCAGTAAAGGTGGGTGCTAGACTGTAAGGCATGGCCATCCTCATGGGCAATCTCAGGATTCTCTAAGTCCTCTAAGGAGCCCAGCAATGGCTTATGTGGGCCTGGGCCACCCCTGCCAGCAGGGCGTAGTACTAAGGATGAGATCCACCAATGGCCACAGCTGAGTTATGCCAAATGAGATGTCCAGACCTCACAGTGCCTAGGAGGACAGATGGCAGAAGCTCAGCCAGGCCACGGAGATTAAAACAGTGCTAGGGGCTTAATGTATGTTTTTAGTGGGTCTGCCACATGTCGAGTTTGGATCTGGAGTCCAGCCTATAATCCTAGCAAAAATTAAACACCAAATATGATATCAAAAAAGTGTATGTGGCTAAAAACATATGTTGGAAATACACATAACTAGGAACATCTAGATTCAAAGAGAAATTGCTAATTCCATAAATATGATAGAGGAATTTACTAACAAGATCACACTTACATAAATAATAAATATAAACTCTATATTTTTCTGAGTGCTAATGACTTTGTTTTTTCCATCTCAGTACACTAGTGGGTATATGTCACCAGTAAAATCAAAGGAGTATTCCAATTACATTCATGATATTAGTAAGTATGATAAATAAAAGTAGCCAGAACCAGAGAATTGGGGCTACAGCTATGATCTTCAAGGAACGTAAAACTTTAAAAACACTCATAAACCAAGACAAAGAAAAATAAAACAAGAGTTAGTTACTTGACTTTCCAAATTGTTACAAATGCAGTACATATTAATAAAAGTTAAAAAGTTAAAAGAATTTAATAAATAATAAAATAATGTAATGAGAGAACAGATTTGACAGAAATCAATTAAAAAGTTTTGACAGCAAGATCACGAAACTGAAAAGACCCATGGTGGAAAGAAAAAACACAGGTAAATAAAAGAGACTGTATTTATTTAAAAGTAGTAATTTAAAATCTAAGAAATCAGAACAATTGTATTCTAACATGAATATATGATACATTGATTAATTTCCATGAAAATAAAGTTAAAACTTTCCCTCAGTAATCAGCAGAAAAATCTGATCAGCTAATTTTAATATTTAAGTTATACATCAGAGTTTAACTGTAAAAGTGACTTGTGAGAATTATCACGTCAAATCACTTCTACCTCCTTTGTAATGTAAATGCTTTTGAAGGAGAAAAATAAGCCTGTCCTCATTAGTTTATTATGCTAATCGAAATGAACATAAATGCAACAATAACTAGAATTTTAACCAACAATTTTCATTAATTATATTTGCAAAAATCATTAATACACTTTTAGCCATTTGGCTATTTATTTTTGTCACCTGGCCATCACTGGTATGGTTAAATAATGCCACAAAGTGGAGTTAATTGCAATAATAAAAAGATAATTCCATACTAGAAAACGTATTACTTTCACATAGTAATTTTAAAGATTAAAAACAATCACATCAACCAACGTTTGAAAAAACATTTTCAAATAATTTAAATCTTTAAAAATAATTTAAAATCTTTAAAAATCATATCAAATTGTGGGGACTAATTATTCTTAATCAATAAAATCTCAACTATATATTCAAGAGTTAACAAAAGGACCATTTTCACTAAAGGTAAGGCTGGAATAAGGAGGCTGGCTGGGGCTGATGCCATTCACCACTGCACATGATGCCTGAGGTGGGACCAAAACAAGAGGGAAAGGGAGAGGGACTACAAAAATGGAGTCAAAGACATGAAATTGTAGTTATTCTTAGATGATGTGACTGTAAACTTGAAAAAGTAGAATCAATTCTAATTATCAATACTAGTAAGAACATTTAAAAAGTGGGCAAAACAGGCCGGGCGTGGTGGCTCAAGCCTGTAATCCCAGCACTTTGGGAGGCCGAGACGGGCGGATCACGAGGTCAGGAGATCGAGACCATCCTGGCCTACACGGTGAAACCCTGTCTCTACTAAAAAATACAAAAAACTAGCCGGGCGAGGTGGCGGGCGCCTGTAGTCCCAGCTACTCGGGAGGCTGAGGCAGGAGAATGGCGTAAACCCGGGAGGCGGAGCTTGCAGTGAGCTGAGATCCGGCCACTGCACTCCAGCCTGGGCGACAGAGTGAGACTCCCTCTAAAAAAAAAAAAAAAAAAAAAAAAAAAAAAGTGGGCAAAACTATTCTGAATATGCCGAAATCAGTATTTCCTGTTTAGTAACATTAATCTTTAAACAAAGCAAACACACAAAATCTGTCTCTATTTACAATAGCAAAATATTATGAAGAACATTTGAAATAAATTTGTAGGCCCATGTAAAGAAATTTTAAAACTTAATGAGGACATTAAAATGACATGAATAAAGCCTGAAAATAATATTATTAGATTGGAGGACACAGTGACGTAAAACCCCAGTGACTGCAGACTCAAGGCAACCTAGACTTAAAAGTCACATGTAGTCTTTCACATGTAAAAAATGAGAATTAGTCTAAAAGCCAATTTTGTCTAAATTTTGATTTTTGGTGAGGATATACTCAAAATAGCTGTGAAAAGAAAAAAATAAAGATGTCAAATTTCATGTAAATCTATGTTATTTGGAAATTTAAAATAAGTCATATAAATATTCATAATATTAAACAATATCATAAGTGGACTCAATAAAACATAATATTTTATCATATAAAATAGGTCCTGCCTTCCTGAGGAAAACATAAAATCAAAGGGCATGAAGGAAGGATTTTGGTTTCGCTGCAGAAACATAATAAGACACCTAAGTGTGTATTTGTGTGTGTGTACATACAATTAAACTACAAAATATAAAATAGCATCTAAAATACATCAAAAATGAGTCATGCAGAAAAATTCATTTTACACATACATCTATAAAATAATACAATGTATTCAGCCTCACAATTACTTTGTGAACTGGAAATAATAATGAATTGTCATTTTATCCAAATCTACAAAAAACATACATACAGTATCAAGTTCTGGTTAAAGTAGTAGATGAACTTTATGTGGTAGTTAAGAGTACCTACACAGTTTGTGGGCTGCATCTTGCTATAATATATTACAATATAAAATGTACCATTTATTTACTCTGCGATCAAACCCCCAAGTTACCCCAAGTGGAGGAACCCTCAGACATTTGCAGGTAAGTCAGTGTGCTAGTAAGCAGCATTCTTTACAAATCTATGAACATCAAGGTCTCCTTGGAACAGACGTGCTGTGAACAATTTCTAAAATACCCTCCTGTTAAGACACTTAGGTTGATTCCATTCTTAAAGCAATTACTGAATAAAACACACTCCATCGTGTGGATGAAATGCTACCTTAATTTGTCATAGCTATCATTTTCTAAACTCTTCCTTCTAATCCAAATCATTAATATTTTGAGGCTAGATCAATACTGATTCATTGTTTTAAGCTTCAAATGCATTATACAATTGGGCAGAACAAATTTCCTCTCATTAATCTTCTTTTCCAGGATTTGTCAGGTATTCCCAGCATTAATTCACTAGTAATATGCACAGTGTTTCTAATCACGGTCAACAAGATCTGACAGTGCATCATCCCTAAATGATCTATACTTGCCTCACTGACATTATGTGGCCCACTTCCACACCATGTCTGGGTGTGAAGGCCTTCCCATATGATCCCCCGAATGGAACTTCACAAGTTCGAAATCACTGGGTCACAGTGTGATACTGTGAAGATGGGATGAAGTTAAGGGAAGGCTATGGGTGAGTTAGGAAATGTGTTAGGCAGGGTCAGAGATTACAAAATCCTAAAAACAACATTTAAGGAGGGAGATGACAAAACAATCAATGAATAATATGACTTTTTCCAGTGAAAGTGTCATATCTAATTGTTCTCCATTTTTCTTCTCTGAGCTTCTTTCTAAGGCAACGTGTCTTGAGAAGTCCCTGCTGAATGTTAGGAACATGCATTTCAGGACTTCCCATCGACATACCCTCTTTCTTTACCACAACCACATATATGGGGGCATAACTCAACATGTGTAAAAGACAATCTTCTGCTTTTCACTGAACCTCCAGTAATTCGGGACAATAAAATTCTACGTGGAGACCAACAGGTGAGTTTTTCTGCCCCTTCCTTCATAACACCCTTCTTCCCTAGTAAAGTCCACACACATCCTTACATGGCAGCTGTGGGTATATGAACTGGTCTGACCCCTTTTAGTCACAGAGCCTGAAGTCTCTGCTAGTACCTGCTGAGCACAGTGTCATGGGTGAGAATGGGCAAGGCTTTTTTCTTTCTCTGATTCCTGCTGAAGTCTCTGCTAGTACCTGCTGAGCACAGGGTCATGGGTGAGAATGGGCAATGCTTTTTCTTTCTCCGGTTCCTGAGCTTCCCAGGTTCTCTCTCACTTCTGGATCCTGAACACCCAAATCTTATTGCCCTTTCTCCTCCAAGCTTCCTTCCCGGAACCAACACCTCCTCCTCATTAGGAAGACACCTTTGTTCTGTGCTTACTTTAAAAAGTCTTGCTCTTTCCCTATCCACTGCCTTATGTCACTACGTGTATGTCTTGGGGCAGGTGGAAAGGTGAACAGAAGCCAATAGAGAGTAACCAGCACCAGCTTCACAGGAATGACATGATCTGGATGCAATAGTGGCAGTTTTCCCTTAACATTCCTGCCCCCTAAAGATTTGAGATCAAATTTCACACTCTTAAGTAACAGCAATTTGTTTCACGGTTTTAATCATATTGATTAAAAGCATTTGTCTTTTCCAGAACATCACATTAAGTCATCCAAAAATATAAAAATTAAAAAGATGTAATTATTGGCAATGAAAAACATAAAAGGTGAGGTTTCGAAATATCTTTGAGCAATTTATTCATTATGAACACGTGGAATCTGTTGGAACAAAGTTCTAGGACAATTCAGCCCATCCTTCAATAATTGCAGAAAACAGCACAAAGAAAACTTGATACTTATACTTAGTTGGAAATTTTATCCTACAGTCATTAAACACAGAGATCATATAAAGGAATAGAGGAAGATGTTGAAAACTAAACTAACTCAAATCATCAATATTCTTACGAAGTGCACACTGAATTAATGTAAAAGTATTTACTAAACAAAAAGTATTTTCAATACACAATTAAGACTGAAAAGTATTGAGGCCTCATAAACTGAACCTGACACAACAAATTTAAAAGGGAAACTAATTTGGAAATCAGAAAACCATCTAAGGAATTTGGGAATTAGGCTTCTGTTGCCCCGTCTGCTACTGACGGTCAGGGCCCCCTCATTGTATTCTGTCCTCCCCATCTCTGCTGATTCCCGTTTTGTCTATTTCCATTTATCCCACTACTACTTGCTCAGGTCACTCTCCTTCATTCTCAGTGTTTGTTCAAATTCCTCAGACCCATCCACTTGCCATCTAAATTTCCCTTTCCTTTTGTCCCTCGCTGGCCCTACCTCCCTCTTCTCTTGTTCTCTCCTCACTCTCCTGCCCCACCTCGACATCCACAGCGATGCAGTAAAGAAGCCCCTGCCAAGGAAGAGCCCACTTCTCAGTGGGACACCGGGAAGGTCACCGCTAGTGGGAGGTGACTGTGCAGAAGGACGCGGGCTGTCACAGGATTGGGCAGGTCCCTTACCCCAGGCCCGGACTCAGCGTCCTGTCTGAAGCGGTCACCCCGAAGCGGGGGGTTTGCGGAGACGTAGGGCCTGGCGGAGGGAAGGATGGGGAGGCATCTCAGGGAGGACTGGCGTCTGCCAAATCCCAGGGCTGCCCTGAGCGGCCAAGAGGGGCAAGGGTGGGGCCGACGGGAGACAAGCCACGTGCCGAATGGGGACCTGACGCGGCGCGCGATAGGATGGGCGGACGGTGAAGAGAACTAGGGTCGAAGGGCCGGACAGGGGCGACCTCAGTGACGGAACTGGACACAGACGCAGATCTGGCAGCTGAGCGACAGGCTTCGGAGCATTTCAGGGCGTCGCGGGGCTCCCCGCCGACAGTGGGGCTGTTGCTGAGCCTGTGACGTCCGCGGAGACCCACAGACCCCGGGTATGGAGGATGGCGCAGGAAGGGGACTGCGTGGCTGGGTTTGGCCACAAAAAGCGGAGGGCACTCACCCAGCGGACCTTGGCTCCGGAGAATCCGTTTCCGGGTCAACAAAACACGTCGCGCGAAGGGCGGGGCCAGTACGTGCCGGGCGGGGAGGGGTGAGGCAGACAAAAAGGCGGGGCCGGGCCGGGGCGGGGTCTCGGGCAGGGGCAGGGCGCATTCTGAGCTCCCGCCCCCGCCGCGTGCGTTTCTGACCCTGCCAGTTTTTCCCCTGGGCTGAAAGCGCGTGTCTGCGTCCGGTTCTGTTTGAGTGCGTTCGGTGCACCGTGGGGGCGCGCTGCTTCCAACTTCCTGTTAGGTAAGAGGCGCGTGAGCCTCTTGTGCCGGGGGCGGTGCTGCTGCCTAGTCGGCGCGGCGGGGACGCGAGTCCGTACGTGCCGGCGGGAGCGAGAGGGGGTGGGGACCCTCGCGATCCCGCACTCCGCCTCTGGGTAGCAGCCTCCCCGGCCCCACACAGTGTGACGCGCGCTCGGGCTCCGCGTTAGCGTGGAGTCAGAGGCGTAGCAGCCGTCGGGCCCAGGGCCGGAGGGGCCTGGACCGGGCAGGGTCCTGCCCTGGACACCGCGCCGGCGGCTGCTCCGCACGGGTTCATTGCGTTCCTATTTCAACCTGTCCTGCACCGCATCTGAGATGATGTATAAATTCGGTACCTTTGGGACAGGCGTGGATGATCTGCCATAATTTGCTTCCGTTATTTCTAAATGTATTGTAATACCACTAAAAGTATTTTTTATTTGAAATATATTTATATATATACATGCATATATTTATTTCTGAATCTTGTTTCCAGTACATATAATGGGGCTTGTAAAGTGGATACTGTTCAGGAGATAGGTGGATTTTGCTTTTAAGTAGTAAAGACTTAATTGGTGACTATTACTGGGGCTATTTAATAAGGATGTCTTTTTTTTTTTTTTAATGAACATTAAAAACAGTAAGATTGGATTTCTGGATTTCATTAGCTTGATTTATATCTTAATTTGTGAAAAATGTAAGTTAACTCATTTTTATTTCCTTTGGAGATTCTGTGCTACCGATGATTATTTCCAAAAAAGGCACACTTCTGGTTTTCCCAGAACTAATGCTAGCTTTTCCATCTTTTGAGTTTACTTGATATTAATGTTTGACCTCAAATCACGTTACATTTTGGAAGAAAGCTTTCTCTTAGCCAATGGCACATAAACCACCCTGGAGTTCATATAAAGGAGGGGTCCAAATGCCTCTGACAGTGTCATGTGTTAAAACTCATGACCAAACCCAAGGTCACTTAGCTTTCTTTCTGTGTTTTATTCTAGAATTTGTATAGTTTTGTCACTGGAAAAGGGACCTTGTCCCAGACCCCAAGAATGTGTTTTTGGATCTCACATTGGAAAGAATTTATGGCAAATCATAGAGTATAGTGAAGTTAAGGTAGTTTATTAGCGACTACTCAGCTACATAGCAGGGCGTCCTCAGCAAGAGGAGGAATGCACCTGTTTTAAAAAAATTATTTTTTTGAGACGGAGTTTTACTCCTGTCACAATGGCATGATCTCGGCTCACTGCAGCCTCTGCTTCCTCGGTTCAAGGTTTCTCCTGCCTCAGCCTCCCAAGTAGCTGGGATTACAGGCGCGTGCCAACACGTCCGGCTAATTTTTTGTATTTTTGGTAGAAACTGGGTTTCACCATGTTGGTCAGGCTGGTCTGGAACTCCTGGTCTCAAGTGATCTTCCTGCCTCAGCCTCCCAAAGTGCTGGGATAACAGGCATGTGCCACCGCGCCCGGGCTTAATGTTTGTTTATATAGGTTATGATGAATAGTGTTGTCTTTTATAAAGGCTTGTGATCAGTTTGTGACAGGCTGTTAGTATTGTTACTTCTCTGTGTTACTGTGGATTTTAACAAGAATTTATGAGTGTATTATTACCTTTAAAGTAAAACTTATTTTTAAACTAAGAATGCTTTTTTGTTCTTAAAGTCCTGGTACATTTTTATAAGTTTTATGCCTTTATTTATTAACTTGTTCCTGCAACCATTAATATTTTATAACCAAAAGTACTCAACCCCCTAAATATATAATCCAACAAATTTAAGTTGTGTGTGTGTGAGGCAGGGTCTCACTCTGTCGCCCAGGCTGGAGTGGAGTGGTGTGATCATGGCGGGCTAACTGCAGCCTCAAACTCCTGGGCTCAAGCAATCCTCCCGCCTCAGCCTCCCGGGTAGCTGGGACTACAGGTACGTGCCACCATGCCAGCTAATTTTTGTGCTTTTTGTAGACATAGGGGGTCTCACTGTTTGCCCAAGCTAGTCTTGAACTCCTGATCTCAAGTGATCTGCCCGCCTTGGCCTTCCAGAGTGCTGAGATTACAGATGTGAGCCACTGCGCCCTGCCCAGATTTAACTTTTTTAAAACCTTTATTTAAAATAAAGTCACTGTGGTTAAGAGGCCTCTGACAGTTTCGCGTTTTAAGTCTGAGGACTATGTTGAGTAAATTTTTGCATAAGTTGTAAAATGTACATTCATGTTGATTTCATTTCCTATGGTTTCCAATTAATTGTGCCTTCTGCATTTTTAGAAACTCACGGGCTAGTGGGCTCTGTGTCAGTTTGCATTTCTAGAACGATAGCGCCAAACACTCCATGCTGTCTTTAAGTGGTGCAGCGGGATGGGTAGCAGAGGGCGCGCGGCAGCCGACAGCGCAGTGAGCTCTAGGGCGCTGCAGTGCCCCCGGCCGCCAGCAAGAGTGCGCGCGAGCCGGCTTTTCTGAGCACTGAGGCGGCCGCGTGCCGCCTGCTACCTCCTTGCCTGAGTCCTGCGAGAGCCGGAGCCGCGTTCTCCTCAGCACATACTGGGATACGCCCCTCGCTTTGGGACACCTCGAGCCCGCGTCCGTGGTGAATAAAATCCTTCCTTTTTCAGCCTTGGCTGCTGAGGGGCAGAGACCCTTCTTGTGGAAAATTAGAAACCAAAAGCCCCTGTGAATCCAGCACACTTGAGGTTCGTTCTCTGCACCCAAGGCGAAGCGGCCACAGAGCCAAGCCACGGTCTCGGAACAGAAATGTAGCCTCAGGAAAGCAACTGGAACATCCGCCACACTGATAATAACCCCGGTAGTACTAATAACACTCCATCTGTGATGCTGGTGTTAGCACCCGTTGTATACAGAGATCACACCGTCAGGGTAACGTGACAGCTGCTGTCCAGATCCGACCCTAGGAACGCGGATGTGTCCCTCAGAGCGCACGTAATGCCCAGAATGCGGAGATGACATCATCTGCCTAACGCCACACCTGTCATACTCATATAACCCCCGGAACACGCATGTGTCCCTCACAGCACACAAGTAACCCCTGGAATGCCCGTGACACCGTCAGACTAATGCCACACCTGTCACACTCATATAACCCCCGGAACACGCATGTATCCCTGAGAGCTTACGTCCCGTCCAGGATGAGGCCATGGCCTTTGCAGCCCACAGGAGAGCGTCTGCAGCTCCGAGGATGGGACCCTCCGGCTCTCGCTGGAGCGCTGGGTTGACAACCTCTGCCGGACTGGTTTTGGGCAGGATTTGGCCTCTGTCATGAAACTTCATGTTGTTGTCTCTGCCTTACTGACGTGGTATTGACACGGTTGTTTTAAGAAGCAGTTTACTTCCCAATAATGTCATACTTCTGGAAACTTGCAACAGCAGTGAGTATGCCTTCTCTTTTCTCTCCAATTCCCCAGCGGTTATTGCTGTGCCAGATTTGCAGCTTCACAAAGAATACCTCCCTGTGTTTCACCAAAAGCGGGAACAGTCCTCCAGGTGATCCCCACATAACCCCCAAATTAGGAAATATATGGTTTCTATGTGAAAGTCCAGTCCGCAGACCTATTTCACTTCATTACCTGCCCCAGCTGGGAAAAAATGTGTTTTCATGTGGGCCCAATTTCTTTTTCGGGAACTATTCATGAGACTCAGTTTTCTGGGGTTTTTTTGGGGTTTTTTTTTTTTTTTTTTTTTTTGAGACGGAGTCTCGCTCTGTCGCCCAGGCTGGAGTGCGGTGGCTGGATCTCAGCTCACTGCAAGCTCCATCACCCGGGTTCACGCCATTCTCCTGCCTCAGCCTCAGCCTGCTGAGTAGCTGGGACTACAGGCATCTGCCACCTCGCCCGGCTAGTTTTTTGTATTTTTTTAGTAGAGAAGGGGTTTCACCGTGTTAGCCAGGATGGTCTGGATCTCCTGACCTCGTGATCCGCCCGTCTCAGCCTCCCAAAGTGCTGGGATTACAGGCTTGAGCCACCGCGCCCAGCTGTTTGTTTTTTTTTTAAGACAGAGTCTCACTCTGTCATCCAGGCTGGAGTGCAGTGGCGCCATCTTGGCTCATTGCAACCTCCACCTCCCTTGTTCCAAGAGATTCTCCTGCCTCAGCTTCTGGAGTAGCTGTAATTACAGGCACCTACCACCATGCTCAGCTAATTTTTTGTATTTTTAGTAGAGATGGGATTTCACCATGTTGGCCAGGCTGGTCTTTAACTCCTGACCTCAGGTGATCCACTCGCCTCAGCATCCCAGAGTGCTGGGATTACAGGTGTGAACCACTGCATCTGGGCGACTCTCAGTTTTCACAGCCTTGATAGATGTAAAGAGCAGAGATGACTCCAAGCTGGGTCTGCCCAGCATTTCCTCCTAAACAGGTGCAGATCCTGTGTTCCTGGTAGGAACACCCTGGCCTGATGCTGCGCTCTCCTCACTACGGCCCACCTGGAGGAGCACCTAACCATCCTACCACCACTGGTGATCTCACTTGGTAATGGCAAATATTCATTTACAATCACAAATTTCATCCTGTCAAGCTCTGGATTTAAGTTTGCCAATGATTTCCTCTGGCCTTAGAACCATAAGTTCTCCTGCCTGCTGTCCTCTCCCATCTAGTCTGCTACAGCTGCCTGCCGTCCCACTCATGGGGACATGAGCTCCCAGGTGTCTTGGGGATTTTATGTGAGTTCCCCGAACCCATTCGCCCATTGCCCACCCTGGTTTTTTAAGGCTTTGTTTAGATAAGTCCTTCAAGTCACAGCAATTATGATATCTAAAAGTAGAAAAGTTAATAATGTGAATTTTTAAAGACAAAGCATTATTTATTAGATCATCTGTGAGATGACCCTCATTTTTTTTTTGGAGATGAAGTCTCCCTGTGTTACCCAGGCTGGAGTGCAGTGGCATGATCCTGGCTCACCACAACCTCCACCTCCCGGGTTCAAGCGATTCTCATGCCTCAGTCTCCTTAGTAGCTGGGACTGCACGCACCCACCACCACGGCTGGCTAATTTTTGCATTTGTAGTGGAGACGGCGTTTCACCATGTTGGCAAGGCT